AAAGATGTGGAGGAACCAGCCAGACCTTAGTGGCTCCCACTTTTCTCCATGCTTGTTCCTTCTTTATTTTTCCAAAAATTACTCCACTGGGGAATTGTGTGAGTGATGGTGGCTGCTGCACTACCTCTCCAGAAGAACTTGGGGGGCAATCCTTTAATTAAAAAAAAAAAAAGGTACGTCTAGCCTTTGCATTTTTAGTTTTAGTAGGTAATGAGGACATATTTGAAACAGGCTATGGAGAACAGAGATATGTAACCATTTGTTCATTCAATGAATAATTTCTGAGTACCGATTACAGTCTGGACTCTGATAAGGACCGGATGGAGAGTCCTTTATGCCATTTGGGTCTTAAAACATCAGTGCTATGGCTGGTTTCCTCCTAAATAACTTAAAGGCAATATTCACCATTCCAAATGTAGATTTCTAGATCTGTTTCCTGATTTCCATACACATTCCTCCACTTGCTTATTAATCAGTTCTACTCAGATGTCCTATGGGCACCTCAAATTCCACATGTTCAGAGTCAAGCTCAATGTCTTCCTTGGAAACTTGCTCCTCCTCCTCCTGTGTCCCATGTAGCATTGGACATCTTCTCCACCTACTTCCTTACTGAAGCCAACAAGCTGAGCATCATTCCTGAAGATCATTCCTTGCTTAATCTTTCAAACCAATCACCAAGTCCTGACTATTTTAACACCTACAGAAAACCAAGATTTGTCATGTGTTTGGGTCAAAATTGGCCAAAGGCTGGCTTGCTTGCTTGCTTTCTTTCTTTCTTTCTTTCTTTCTTTCTTTCTTTCTTTCTTTCTGTTTATCTATTTATTTTGAGTGGGGAGGGGCAGAAAGAGAGGGAGAGAGAATCCCAAGCAGGCTCCATGCTGTCAGCACAGAGCCCCACTTGGGGCTCCATCTCACAAACCGTGAGATCATGAGCTGAGTCGAAATAAAGAGTCAAAAATTCAGGGGCACCTGGGTGGCTCAGTAGGTTGAGCAGCCAACTCTTGATTTCATCTCAGGTTATGATCTCACTGTCGAGAGATTGAGCCCCTTACCAGGCTCTGCTCTGAGCATGAGGCCTGCTTGGGATTCTCTCTCTCTGCCCGTCCCCAGCTCCCATGCATTCTCTCTCTCAAAATAAATAAACATTAAAAAAAAAAGTCAAAAGTCAGAAGCTTAACCAACTGAGCCACCCAGCTGCCCCAGGCATGCTTTAATTGCAAGCACTCTGCAGGGAGAAAACTAGACTAAGTAATCAGGTGCCTTCTATCTAATTCAGTACATCAAATGGATGAATTAATACAATTATTGAGTCCACTTATAACTTAAGCAGGTAAATTCACTTTCCCATAACAATCACATTTATGACTTAAGTAAACCATCTCTTAAATGAATGTATTTTCTATCCTCTGAAGTTATCACAAGTCTTTAATATTACATTTCTAAAAGAATATACTACAAACCTTGTAAATAATTGTTTATCTTGGCAAACCCCTCTTTCTCACTGAAAATCCCAACCTTGGAGAGGAAAGGCATCATAAGTCAAGATGCAGAGGATGTGTATTTTAATCTTATTTGAGACCTTTTTCCTACCTAGATAATTTTTTCATCTTACTCCTATTGTTGCTAGAGTGCAAATATGGAATATTCTTTAAGTTAAAAGCAGAATTAAGTTTATTCTGCAAATTTAGAAGATAAAGAGTTTTCCACAAACACAAATAATACTGACACTTTACTGATTCCTCACCCAGATTTCTCATAAATTCACAGACATAAGTTCTAAATATTTACAGAAATTTCTCTGAGAGTGCCCTTCCCTTCCCCTTCTGCTTCCCAACTTGTCTTTGGTAAAGCCTTCCCCAGTTTCCAACCCAGAATTAGTCTCCCTCTGTGCAGCTTCCAGAGAACTTTAGATTCCCACCACCATAATATTTAAAACATATTATGTATTTATTTGCTGATGAATGTCCCATCTAGATCGCAAGTTTCCTTAGATCAGGGTTCAAATTCTTTTACGTGCAGCAAGTACTTAATAAATGCCTGTTTAATGCAGAGATTAATTCCAGTATTATTTCATATGGTGAAAAGGAGCAATGAAAAAAGAAGATGTGGTATATATATGTATACCACATAAAGAAGATGTGGTGTACATATATATATATATACCACATATATATATATACCACATATATATATATATATACCACATGGTGTATAGATATATAGATATAGATATATATACCACACACA